GAGTTACTATGGGAACTGTGGCATCCCTTCTTTCATCAGTAGTCTTTAGGATCATTCCAGCAATCTAAAAGGAAGCCCCAGGGAACATGCAGTCCAGGCCTTTCCTGGATTCCTCAAGGTTGAAGAGAATGGTTGGTGGTTTTAGCTGCCTTGATTGCTCCACTGCTGTGGACCACTGCATTTCTGCTATTTTTAACTGGCGTCCAGTTGTGTGGGTCAAGGACCTAAAAACCATTGGGCAGCTCCGTTTGGGTGGCATCGTGCTCTCTTGCCTGGCTACTTGTCTGGTGATGATAGCAATCTCAACGGAATATTGGGTCAAGCGATTTATCCGGGGGATTTTTGTGTTCCGAGGACTCTGGAAGGACTGCCAGCTGGGAAAATGTACCCTTCTGGTCCATATGCCATGTAAGAATCATGAAATTCTCTAAACATACAAAAAAAAAAAGGCACTGTAAAAGATCCAGATATTGTTTCTGTCATGAGAAGTTTTAGGAGTTACTCCAGATAGATATAGCATTCAAAAGGGCAACTTAATGATGCCTCAGTTCTTGAGGAGGCATCTCCCCTGGTGTAAATACTGGATGGGAAAAATGGTTCTGCAATTTTTAAAGTTATGCAACTTGAATAAGGCGAAAAGCTGGTTGTAGAAGGACCCTATTGGCTAGAGCCTGTGATGTCACCAACACATCATCAGATTTCTATGCAGAGCTCTGGATCTGCTTTGCAATTATTTTAAACAATGCACTATATATACTTTTAATCATCATCATCATCATCATCATCACTTATATCCCATCTTTCTCTCAGTCATGAGATGCAAGACTGCTAAGAATATGTTTAAAACAATACAGATTATAATTATACAAAAGCTTCCATAAAGGTATAAATATAAATGTTATTTTAAAAGCAATTAAGCAATTTATAAATTTTAAAACATTAAACATTACAAACAAATTCATTAAGAGACTACATACAAACCTTTAAGATAGTACCACACAGCATTAAAAGCCCACTCCAATCAGTTCCCAAAAGCATGAAGGCATCAATAATCTTTGAGAATTCGTTTGAGAATTCCTAGAGAGCAGAAGAGGTCCCAGAGGTCTGGAGGAGGGCAAATGTTGACCACATCTTCAAAAAAAGGAAAGGAAGAAAAAAGAGGACTCATGCAACAGGGAGGAATGGAGGATACTACACTTTGGATACTACAGAATGGGGAAAGGTCTGGAAAAAATGCCCTATGAGGAGTGGCTTAGGGAGCTGAGTATGTTAAGCCTGGGAAAGAAAAGGTTAAGAGGTGATAACCGTATAGATAATCATATAGAATCATAGAGTTGGGAGAGACCGCAAGGGACATGTTTAAATATTTGAAAGGATGTCATATTGAGAATGAAGCAAACTTATTTTCTGTTGCTCCAGAGACTAGGACCCTAGAATAATGGATTCAAGCTACAGGAAAAGAGATTCCACCTAAACATTGGAAAGAACCTCCTGACAGTAAGAACTATTTGACAGTGGAACACGCTGTCTTAGACAGCAGTGAAGTCTCTTTCTCTGGAGATTTTTTAACAGAAGCTGGATGGACATCTGTTGGGGTGTTTTGATTGTGTATTCCTGCATGTCAGGGGGTTGGACTGGATTGCCCTTGTGGTCTCTTCCAACTCTATTATTCTATGATTCTATGAAAAAATGTTTTAACTTAGTGATGGAAGAAGAGCAAGGATGTGACCATCCCCTGGCCTTCCTAGAGAGGGAGTTCCAAAGTCTAAGAGTGACTACCAAGGCCATCTCTTTTGGAGCTTTAGATGGTGGTGGGACAGAGAAGGGCTTTTCCGCACAATCCTAGAACTCTAATGGGTTGATTAAAAGAGATGCGTCCCCTCAAATAACCTGGATCCAAGTCTTATAGAGCTTTAGAGGTCATCACTAGCACTTTGAAACCATGCCCTGAAGTGAACCAGCAGCCAGTGGAGCTGTTGCATGAAGGAAATTCTGTGTTCAGTTAACAATGTGGCTGCAGCTCTTTGGGCCAACTGAAGTTTCTGAGCACTTTTCAAAGGAAGCCCCACATAGAGTACAATAATCCAAATGGAATTTAATTAACACATATGTATTATCATGGCCCAATCCAACTTGAATACCTCGAAGACATGATTAACCTGGTGCAAGTAGATAGAGCTTGCACATATGGCATGCCATTATGTTCAGAGTCATTGTGACTGTGTCATCATCATCTAGTGGTGAGCCTTCTGTTGAAAAGTTTGGTGCTGAATTAGGCTGGTCCTTGGATGGTAGGCACACGGTGAACCACTGAGGCCATACTCAGTCTTAACCATCTGCCAGAACTCTGCTGACATAGTATTTGATAGCCTAGGATCATTTTAAACCATGAGGAGATGGCAGAGTAGGAGTCTGTGGAGGATACCTACATAGGTGCTTGAAACCTCAGCTACAGGTACTTCTACACTGCAGAAACAATGCAGTTTGACAACACTTTAACTGCCATGGCTCCATCCTACAGAATATTAGGATCTGTAGTTTTGTGAGGCACCAGCACTCTTTGGCAGAGAACACTAAAACCATGTAAAATGATAATTCCCAACATTCTATAGCAGGGGTAGGCAACCTTTCCCCTTTAAGGGCCGAGGGACTTCAGTTCCCATAATCCCAGGAGCTATTGGCCAACATGGGACTATTGGCCAACATGGCTGAGGCTTCTGGGAGCTGAAGTCCCTCGGCCTTTAAAGGGGAAAGGTTGCCTACCCCTGTTCTATAGGATGGAACAACAGCACTTAAAGTCGTGTCAAAGTGGATTATTTCTACAGTGTAGATGCACTCTGTTATTACTATTATCATAGCAACCATCACCTCCATCCTTATTATTTTATTCATTTATAGTCCATCTTTTCCCTGATATTAAGATTTAAGGAGTTTACAAGCATTAAATCTCAGACAGTTACAATAGCTCAGAATTAACTGAAATCAGCAAACCAGCACACTACTAAAAGACTCAGCACTTGGTTCTTGCTGACAGAAAGACAGCAAGGAGGGAGCCATTCTGGCCTTCCTAGGGAGGGAGTTCTGGGAAGGCTTTTTCCCTGTTTCTCCACCAAACATTTCTGCAAAATAAGTGGGGCCAAGAAAGCCTCCTTCCAAAGATAGCACTCAGTTCCCTGTTGGCATGCATGTCCCAATTTGGCAGCAACAGTTGTGATGAATTCTCTGTCCTCCCCATTTTTTCCAGCTGCTTTTAAAATGTCCTAGTTACTTTCTCCCCGCACCTTTCCCCATTGTGTCCAGCTTATTTCAGTTGCTGAAAACTGGGCTGATATCCACTAGGGCCCTTGGTATCTACTAGGGTTTGGTTCAAGGACCTTGTGTGGTTACAAAAATCTGTGGATGCACAAGTCCCATTCAATACAATGGCATATTAAAATGGTGCCACCTATATAAAATGGCAAAATAACGGCTTGCTTATTGGCATTTATTTTAATATTTTTTCAAGCCATGGATGGTTGAAGCCATAGATTTTTAAAATTCTGTGGATACTGAGAGCAGACGGTATATTTGTACGGGTATGATTCAAATGCAAAGAAGATTGATGAGCACAGATGGAAAGCCTGTTGGAATTGTTCTTAAAATCCTGTATCTGTCTTCACTAAATTGCCCTTTGTTTGGCACTGAGACAGGGCTCCTCTACACTTGATTCTATAGTTTGGCTTGGTGCTGCATAAGGCTTTTGCTCCATCTGTCGGCCAATTTCTAAGATTTCAGGAAAAAGGGACAGCCTTTGAAAGGCATTTGCTAGCAGCTCAATCATATTGGTTAGTAGTGTTTAAGTACTCCAGTTCTAAGTAATCCTCTACACAATAAATCTTTTAAATAAAGGATCCCTTTGCCCCATCCAAGAAACCTCTATGTCTTGAAACTTCTAGGATATGGTCTAGGTAGATGCGCACAAAATGCTTGTATTGACAGAGGCTTACTCCAGTGTTAGTCTCAGCTAAAGCAGACCTTACTGAACCCAGTCCTTCCAACTCTCCTGAACTGGCAGGGACAATCCTGATTATTCTTTTATTTCCCACTTTTTCAACTGCTTTTAAAGTGTCCCAGTTTCTCTGTCCTCCTCCCGCTTTCCCCCTTTGACCTCAGCTTATGATTTTCAACTATTTCAAAACAATTTAAACAGTATAAAACAGGCTCTCCATATCCCTGGATTCTTCATCCATGGATTCAAACCATCTATGGCTTTAAAATATATATTTTTAAAATATAAATTCCCAAAGGCAAACAATGATTTTGCCATTTTAAATAAGGGACACAATTTTATTATACCATTGTGTTTAGTGGGACTTGAGTATCCACAGATTTTGGTACCAGGAGGGCTCCTGGAACCAAACCCCAGGCGATACCAAGAGCCCACTGTACTATATCAGACCTTTACAACCTAGTCAGATCATGACATTGTGTTGCCCCAAGGCACTACCAAGCCACAATATCCTCACTGTTGTGCTCTTGCAGGGCTTTGAGGGAACTATATGATGGTATGGCAATGTCAACTAGCACCTAGGGTTGCCAGATTCAAAACTGGAGAGGGCTCCTGTAGTTTTAATGGTTGTATAGAAGAGGGAATTTTAATAAGTGTTGTTTTTTGGACAAGCAGGCAACACGCAACACCTGTTGAAATTCCCTCTTCTGCACAATCTTTTAAAAATTACAGGAGCCCTCTCCAGTTTTATCCCTAGTAACTCTAACTAGGAGCTACCATTTCAGTATCATTTTCCCCTCCCTTTTATTTTGGATACGTTCATCTCTGTTTCTCTTATTATTTTTCTTTCCCTCTTTCTTTCTACCACTGTCTTTTCTCTGCAGCTTTCAAACGCTCCCTTCCATATTTCCTCCCTCCTCAGAAGGCTGCTGTAGGAAAGATTGCTTTTGCAAAATGCTCAAAAGACTCATTTCCATTTTGAAATTAGACTGAGGATCACATAGAGGTAAGAGTCAGCGTGCTGTAGTAATCTGAGCATTGGACTGCAACTCTAGAGACCAGGGTTCGAATCCCTGCTCTGCCATGGAAACCTGCTGGTTTTCTCAGCCTGAGAGGAAGGCAAAGACAACCCCCCCCCCTTTGAACAAATCTTGCAAAGAAAATCCCATAATGGATTTGCCTTAGGGTCTCCATGACTGTGAAATGACTTGAAGGCACACAACAACAACAAACATATGGACTTTTGTTGGGGTCAGCAAATAGCTCAAGGGCCATAGATTGCCCACCCTGGGAGCAGAGGGATGTAACCAAGAAGTTCACAAGTTTCCTCTTTCTTTCTCCCCTTTTAGCCTATGTTGTCTTCTCTATAGTTTTCATGCTGATCTCTGCTATGGCTTGCTATGGGTCTGTGATCTTTGGAACCCTGTGCCTGACCACCTTGCCTCCACCAAGGAAAATAACATGGCCCACCCTTACCATCACCCTGTGTTTTATGTCTGGTAAGTGGATTAATCTTCCAAGACCACCCCACCCTTGTTTCCCAAAGCTCCTTGTAGGAATATTGCCTGCCCAGCTTTAGGTCAGCCCCAAAGAAAGGGCTTTTAAAATTATAGTGAAACAGATTTTTACACATTCATCTTCTGAAGACGTGACTTCTCTTCTTTCCAAACAATTGTATTGGTTTATTAAATAGCATCTCAATGGCCTCAAATACCCCATTTCAGTCTGAGGATCTGGGATCATCTGGGTGCAGGGAAGTCTTTGTAGTCCCATCTTGGGAAAATCCTTACTCAAGAAAGTTGCACATTAGCTCCAAGGCCTGTACCAGCACATAACTTTCATGGGCAGCTGCCAGGTCCCAATTGCCCTGCAAGATTTCATTATTAGTCCCACTTGTAGGTAAATGAAAAAATAACTCCTGGGTCCATAACCTTCTATGCAAATCAATGAGCCAGAGTTTGAAAATGTTATTTATTTATTTTTTTTGGACTACAGTTCCTTGAATCCTCCATCTATCATGACCAGTGACCATGATAGATGATGGTTTGTTTGTTTGAGTTGAAGTCCACTACAGTAACTTTCTCTGGCTCTGAATAGAAACATGCACTTTGGTATGGTGTTGCAATGTTGTTGCACTTCAGGAAGAGCTGGCTATTTTGCCAAGCCTGGGGAAAGAGGGGTAAAAGATGGAGGTAACTATTGTCTAACAACAGAAGGACAAGCTCCCCGACCTCTTCAGGAACCAAGTAGTAATGACCCTAATCTCTTGATCTTCCCCTTGACCATGCTCTTCCATTGGCTCTTGTCCTTCAGGCTTCACAGGAGGGATAGGCCTGTTCAATTTCATGAGATCATCAACCGAGGAGCCCAATACATTCCTTTCGTGGTCCTTGGCACCAGGGTGGTCTTCTGTCATTGTGGTTTCCATGGCAGGTATGAGATGCAATGTTCAAAGGGCTGGAAACTAGGGAAAGAGGACAGAACAAAGATGAGGTGACATTCTTGAACCCAACAAAGAAGGTGTAAGGGCAGGGCTTGGTTACATTGGCTCAAAGTGGGTAACTGGGGCTCTCCAGATGCATGTGGCCCATAATCCCCATCAGGGCTAGCCAGCATTACCAGTGATGAAGGATTACTGGAGCTGGGACTCCAAAATATCTGGAGCACCATAGTTGCCCATCCCTAAGTTAAATAAATATGATAGGACAGTGAAACTGAGTGCCTCCTAGTGGCATCCTAAGGAGTTTATCACAAGGGACAGATCCCGTTCAGAGATTGGATTTAAAGTGAAAACAAACCGCAAAAGCGTGTTGTTCTTCATATGACGTTCGGAGTTAACCTGAACAGAAAGTAGAAATAACCAGCAAAAGCGGGTAGTTTTTCTCATGACGTTGGCATCAAGGAGAAATAATGCATCATTAATCTGAACAGAAAGTCTCCAAAACCTACTCCTTTTTACTTTTGGGAACTTCCAAAAATAAAAAGGAGTGGGGTTTGGTGACTTTCCATTCAGGTTAATGTTGCGTTATTTTCCTTTACACAAACATGTCTGAAAAACAACCCGCTTGTGTGTGTGTGTTTTCCCCCCAGATTTTTAAATCCCGTTTCTACACAGGATTTAAACAATTTGCCTCCGTGTGATATACTCTTAAGAAAAAGCTAAGGCACCATTCTTAAAGTGCTGCAGCAGTGCAACACACCATTGTATGTGTTTGTGTGCAGATGCTTGCAATATCTACTGCCTCACCACTAAGGCAGGTGGGCACCAGACAAGATCTTCTCACTGGTGGCCTTCTGCCCAGATCTCAAAAAAGTTACATTTACATTAAACCTACTGCGTGCTCTTAGGCAAGTCACACTCTCTTGGCTTAAGAGGAAAGCAATGGTACACCTTCTCTGAATAAATCTTGGCAAGAACCCATAGTTGACTTGGAGTCACGTAACAAGAACTTTCACTTTGCCAAACATGACCAACTTTCAGATTCACAACCTTATGTATGAAGACGAGGTGACAAGTTTAGTTTTAATGATGATTGGCCATTGGCAGACAAAGGTACGGGGAAGGCTGTTGAATAAAGCCAAGGAAAGTATATAACCATATGAACGAATATTGGAATGTCATGTCCACAAGGTTTTGAATTTGAATGGACCTTCTCATGCACAAACTGTTTTATATAGGTCTGTCTCTGGATTCTGCACTCCAAGCACACATCTGATAAAGTAGGCTCAAGTCTACGAAAGCCCATGCTATTAGCTTCTATCTTTCAATTAATCTCAAAGGCGCTACAAGATCCCTCTGCTTATTGATTTTTCAGACTAACACGGCTATGTCTTTGAATTCTACATGATGATGTTAGAGTCAACAGCCTACATTTTGACTCAGAGGTTAATTCTGTGGTCAGTTAAGATGGTCTAGAAGGATATCAGTGCAGGCAAAGGCCAAATCCCTTCTTGGCCATCTAGGGACTGTGGACAAAGGGCAATAAAAGAGTGGTAATGGAATTCAACTCCATTAGCAAGAGAAAATTAAGGAGGGTTGCAGACTGCCAGAAATAGTGCAAATTGAGTCCACTTTTAGGGTTAGGGTTAGTGCTAGGGAATCATGGGAATTGTTTTTTTTTTTCTGAGACATTGAGCCTTCTCTGCCAGAGAGCTCTGGTGCCACAATAAACCACAGTTCCCATGATTCCCTAACCCTAAAAGTGGACTCAATTTGCACTATTTCTGGCAGTCTGCAACCCCCCTAACTTCCCTCAAGACCTAGGTTGCTCCTGTCCTGTGCAGTGCTAACTCCCCCTTTCGTAGGCACAGAACGCTGAATTTTTCATTTTGGTTGGCAAATAGAGATATCGCTTTTTTGTGGCTTCTCAGCATGCAATTGAAATGAACTTCTTTTTCCTTGAAGGAGTTTGCCATTTTGTGGCAAAGAACTGGGAAGAGGAGGAACTGGCTGAAAAGCTCCTCGCAACCTCAATTGGCCTTACATTGCAAGAAGACTGCATGGCTCGGCGTGGCTCCGAATACACCCAGCATACAAGGAGAAAGAGAAGGCCAGAATCGGACACATGTGTATGACTTGACACAGGAATAAATCTATGTACAAGAGGTGGCAAAAGTGGCTGAGTGGGATCGATGCTCACCTAGACCCAAGAGGATCTGGCCTTTGGGAATTAGGAGAAAACACGCCAACAAGGGGAACTCTGGTACAGTGTTTTGCTTCCCGATGTCACAAACTTTTACACATCACCCCATGCTTGGAGATATGCTTTTGGACCCACATGGGGTGACACACTGAGCTTGTCCCAGGCTGAACGGTGACAGGAGGTCAGCGGCGACGTTATTCTGGCAAGAGCAGCACGAAGTGTTCCTGCAGACTGAGACAGCGCACAATGCATCTGAACTTTCCCCAATGTTTTCAATAATGCTTTTCTACTCTTTGTTCCTTCACCCCTGAAATAAACCCTTTAGTTGTGCTCATTACGTGCTCCTTTGTTCTTATGGGGTTCACTTGCAGTTATCTCGGATGCCGCTTTTCCAAACCTGGTATTCTTCAGACCAGGGGTAGGCAACCTTTTTGAGCCGGGGGCCGGGTTGCTGTCCCTCAGACAATTGGGGGGGCCGAAGCACCATAAATAAATAAATAAATAAATAAATAAATAAATAAATAATTTTTTTTTTGGAAAAAATTAAAAATTAAAAAAATATATGCATGCACACTCTCTCAGCCCCAGAAAAGCCATGGCAAAACCCCTGTGGAGATTTTGCCAAGAAAACCCCAAGAACAAGTAATAACAACAATAATCAATATCATCATGGCGGGTGGCGGTAGCGGCAGGGGGCAGCGGCGGTGGCGACGGCAAGATCAGTCTGGGGCCGGTCCAAAGGCCTCAGGGGGCCGCATCCGGCCCCCGGGCCTTAGGTTGCCTACCCCTGCTTCAGACATTTTGGGCTACAATGCCCATCATCATCCCTAGCCAGCATGATTAATAACTAGGTGTAGAGAGACTTTGTAGTGGGGGTTGCAGACTGCCAGAAATAGTGCAAATTGAGTCCACTT